GTTCTAGAGAAAGGGAGAGGCAGTTTGAGTTAAGTGCAGAGAAGATGTATCCAGCTTTCTCTGTGAGCTATCAAGGGAGCCACAGTGTGCCCTTTCATATTAGCCCAGCATCAAGGGAGTTTTGTTAAATGCTTTTACAGGTAGAGAAGGGTAATGCAAGAGAACCAACATGTTTAAGCTTAGTAAGGGGAAAAAAACCCCAAACCAAAACAAGAGAAAGCCAAACAGACATGCATGGAACATAATTTCCCATATTCAAAACAGATTTCTCTATCACTGTGAATTCCACCATGAAGAGCAGGCACCTGTGGCAAGGATTTTCTGATCCAAGGTTAGAAATGCATCTTCCCACTTAACTATCATGGTGCTTGTTTGTGTCTTGAATTAGCCACCTGGGGTCTTAGTGGTGTTAGTCACCAGGAACAGAGCAAAACCACATTTCCCTTGTTATTTTTCTTTGCAAGCTATTGGATAAACTCAGTTTCTGAGGTGGGGGGAATAAAGAGAACTGGATAAAAAAAAAAAAAGAATGGATGGAAGCTTTTACTGTAAAATAGTGGTGTCATCTTCAGATAACAAGAAACCATTTCCTTGTACAGGGAAAAACTCCAGCTTCAGCTATAGATGATAGAAAATATGTCTTCTATCTTTCTTTCCTTAAAAAAAGGAAAGATTGTACAGTGGCTAAGAAGCAAAAAAGAGAAGACATTTATATATCTGAGCACAAATGTGACAAGTATGGGAAAAAGATACTAGGCAGCTGTCAGAAATGCAGGGTTAAGAGGAAAGCTGCCTGTCCAAACTCCCTACACAAAAACCTGCAGCTCTAAGGAGCTGTTTCACACTGCAATGTGCTCTGTGGTGATCTGGCATGTATGTCTTCCACACTGATTAACAGCAAGTACTTTCCAATTGATTGTTCTTTGGAAAATGCCAAACAGTACTTTGCATCAGCTGAGATCTGCCAGTTGCTCTTCCCTTTTTCCTCTGTGCCCTGTCCAGGACTTTTAGCCGTAAATAAAAGCAGAGAGACTGACTGCTGGTGGCATGTGAAAGAGAGAGTGGAACCCCTGTCAATGCACTATGAATAAAGAAATAATTACCCCTACTTGTCTAGCAAAGGCTACAGAGAGTCCAAATCCGAGCTGTAAG